AACTTAAAAAAAAAATAAATTTATAAAATATAAATAACATCAACAAAAAAAAACAAACTGAATCATCATTTACCAGCTTCACCAAACATTTGCATTTAGTGGCTTTGACATTTTGATTGGTCTATAAGCCTGCTGCCCAAAGAATAAGGAAAACGCGATTCGACCGAAAAACCTGAAGAAACACAGATCTTCACGAAATCTTTCTCTTGTGCCCGACTTCTACGAATTCAAATGACGAGCTTCAAGAATCGAAGCCTCCTTTCCTTTGTCGTCACGCGTGCGCAGTCAAACCTCGTACAATTAGCAAGTTAATAGTAGTATTTTGTCCAACTCAGGTTGTTTGAATAATTGCCTTCTCTGTTGCAGACATTCTCGAGTTTGCAGCTTAAAGCTCCTAAATTGACGCCATAGCCAGTATCTCTGAGCTAACTAGGATGGAATATACTAAAATACTTTAGCTTTTTCCTTGTGGGTTGCTTCTTGTTTTTTACCAAGGATAATGTAGTTTTTTGAAGACTAAGGAGAGAGAAAGAAACTGGGATTTGGGTTGATTGAGAATGAGTGTTTCTTTGACTGTAATGACCTTCAATCTCCATGAAGATCAACCAGAAGGAAGCCCGAATTCATGGGAGAAGAGGAGGGATTTGTGCATCAGTGTCATAACTAGTTACTCCCCTATGATTCTTTGTACTCAACGAGGTAGGGGTCTCTTTCTTTGCGCAAAAATGCATACGATCTTTGATGAGGACTTGCTTTGCTTGTTTTCTGTGATGTGGGTTTTTCCTATTTTTCTTCTGGATGCTACTCTTTCTTCTTTTAGAACGTGCTGAATGGGAAATTTGATCTCTTGTGTTTGGCCATAAAGAAAAAAGAATAGGAATTTTCATGGCTGCTAGCTCTGGGGTTGAAGTGTTGTTTCTATGTAATATTGATCTGCATTTGGAAGATAACTTCATGGGTTCGACCAATCTGGAGTCTTGATTTGCTTTACTTACATTCCTTGATCCTTGATCTGGGTGTGATTCTACTGAATTGTATCTACTGTATTCTTGTTGTGATTTTTATTGTATTCATTTGAACCCTTTGTTTTGTCTTTTGGATTCAGGGGTAAAATCACAACTGGATTATCTTCAGCAGGGATTGCCAGGTAATGACTGATCTTTTCATCTCGTGGTTAATATTAAAATAGTGTTAAGTATTATAGCAGCAGCTGATTTTCATATAATTATATCTTTTAATACAAATTTGATGGAATTGTATTTTGAATATGATCTTGTGTACTGGCCAAAAATGGAAGGATGTTCTGTATATTATTTGAACACTACTTCCCTTGTGTTCTTCAGGTTATGACCAATTTGGAATATCAAGAAAAGGAGCTCAAGACACTTCAGATGAACATTGCTCAATCTTCTATGACAAGGAGAAGGTATAAGATTCTTTGATCCAATGCGTAACAGCTTCCTTATATTTCTCTGTCAATTATGTTAGTAATCAACATAGTGTTGCTTAACATTGTTTTTACTTTTCATATCAAAAAAAGGTAGAGCTGCTAGAAGGTGGAACTTTTTGGTTGTCTGAGTCACCTTCAGTACCTGGGAGCAAATCATGGGGTTCTGTAGTTCCTTGTATTGCCACATGGGTGATATCCTTCTTTTTTAAACTTTACAATTTTCATCTCCTTTCTTGTTGAATTCGATGTTGTCATTGTTATGGAAGAGCGCTGTTGTGTGTTTGTTTTCTTGACATGATGCCCACACATTCCAACTCAAAGGAGTCGAGCCACCTGGTTTTTCATTTCAAGTAGTGAATACTAATATGGATGAATTCAGTCCCCGTGCCCGTAGAAGAAGTGCTTTACTTACATGGCAACACATTGCATCCTTGCCTCCTAGTTTGCCTGTTGTCTATTGTGGGGGATTCAATACACAGAAAGAATCAACTACAGGGCGTTTTCTTCTTGGAAGATCAAGGTACTCTTTGTAACATAGATCTTCAGCCCCTTTGCTACATGGCCAACCTTTTGCTTTGGTACATAGATCCTCAGCTCCCTCATAACATGGACAAACTTTTATCAACTTTCAAAAGTATAACCCCTTGTTTCATCTGTTCCTTAAGATTTGTTAAAACATATTAACCATGGTAAGAGCTCAGTAGATGATACAAGTTTGAAACCTCTTTTATAGGCAGTTGTGCAGTTGTGCTACTCTAAATTGATTAGCTAAACCTATAAGATTTGATATTAAAACTTGTGGAAATGAATAAAGCAAATTATTCATGTTACTGTTACATACAAGAATAATCTAGTTCAAGCCTTGTTTTATATAAAATGTGGAATATCAATCCAAGTTGGGTGACAATGACATATGAGGAAGTATTGGATGCCTTTTAGCTGATAACGATATTGATATTGAGGTGATACGTGGTATTGTTATGGAAGTCATGCATCTGAGTGTGTCTTTTTACTGGAGAATAAGTTCCTCTAAAATATGTAACAAAGTCACCTCTCTTCTTCTATAAAGTTGTAAGCATTTTACTTCCTCAGAAAATAATAAGTTGGTTAGGTTGAACTTGAATTATACCCCTCCTTCTTCTTCCCCTTTTTTTTTTTTTTGTTTTTTCATGTGTTCAGAGAACATGGTGTGGTAGGAGATATGAGGGATGCATGGCCTAGTGCCCGAGTGAGGAGGAATGCTTCCCTTATATGGACTTATCATGGATTCAAAGGTATTGTTTTTGCTCCTATATGATGCTTGCTCTTTCAGCATGATATTGTGATGAACCTAAATATTATTTGGTGCTGTCAGGTGACAAGCAGGGAGCTCTTGAATTCCTCAAGTTGATCTTTAGAGCCTTCTGTCTTTGCTGGGATCGCCAAACCCAAGATCTACACGTAGACTGGATTCTTTTCAGAGGTAGATCTTTGATACCTGTTCTCTCTGAAGTGGTGAATGATAATGTCGATGGGTCTTACCCTTCCTCCCACTATCCCATATTTGCCGAGTTTCTACTTCCACGTACTGTGAGACCCCTTGAACCACCTACTCATACACAAGAGGAAGAATAGCATCCATTCTGTTCTTGAAGCATATACTACATATCTGTCAGAACACATATAGTTTCTTCAGTTGTGAAGTTTGCCCCCCACGTCTAGAGGATGAGAAATAAACAAAGTCAAAAATTGATTTCATCTCAAGAACTCTGGGGTATTTAAGTATTTTCAACTGTCATATGATCCAGACACTGATCCATAACAGGAGGAGGACTACATGTCTGGGACTTAATTCTTTTAGTTGTAGGAATGCATATTTATTCCACATCGATTTGTATCAAGTTCAAATGCTAGCCTTTCTTAAATTTTGTTGCTACTGTCAATATGGCTAATGTTATATACCAATTTCCATTGAAGTCTTTGAACAAGCTGAAGCTCATTTAACCATTATATCAAATTGCATGAGTAACCTCTGCACCATGCCCTCCATGGATGAAGAAAAACTTGCAAGTTGCAACTGCATTAGCATGAATGTTCCATTTGCATTCCCATCTGTTCTGAAGATGGCATACTCAACTGAAAATTTTCTTCTACAAGCCTGTTTTTGTCCCAATTGATGCATCACCTACCACCTTAGCGTTGAGTAATGATTACTTTTAGTTGACAACATTTTGTATTGTTAGAAGAGTAAAAAACAGCTTGCTTGTATTCCCATTTCGTACCCACCACATGACAAATTTGCAAGCATTGAAAAATACAAATTTTCCCGTTATCATATCCGAACATATCTTCTCAATGACATTATTGTTGAGTTAAAAGTCTATCAATTGATCCAATGTGCTTAGTATAATGAAATAATCATAGATAAACCTAACAATGATTAATTATTTATCAATACAATCAAAATCATGGTTAGCTTTTATGAATTAAAACTTTAGGTAGATCTAGAATAAAAGTCCCTCGTAAAAAGAATTAAGTAGATATTATTAATATAAATTAACATCACATAAATAACTTTTATTGTAAATCATCTAAATAGTTTATTTATAATTTTTTTAAAATAAGGTTAATTAACCTTTTAAATTCGAATCGCATAGTATACAATTATAATAAATTAAAAAATAATATAAAATTATCTCATATTATTTAACTTAAAAGTCTTACTCATTAGGTCGAGTGGCTCTTGCTACCTTGTTAAGATGTAGTTATCTTTTTTTTTTAAGTTGGGTTCAAGCGCTAATGATACCTTATTCAAAAAAAAAAAATCATAAATAAAAAAGAAAACATAATGCAGTGGTTGTGGACATTTGTAGGTCTTCCTTCAAATCTGCTTGGAGGTCTCATTCAATCTTCTGTTTGGTATGTGTATGATTTCATATTTTTCCTCAAACAATGCAATTTGCTATTGCATTGAATAGCTTGTATGCATAAGAATTGATGGTAGAATGATTTGAATCATGGCACGTTTTAGAGGAATTGGACTTCCTTTTCTTAAGAATTGATGGAAAAAAGGATTCCTCCCAATCTATTAGGTGAAGAAATAGGGATATAACTTTATTTATTCCTGCATTTTCTTTGGCAATTTTTGTGCAGATATGGATTGATATTGAAGGTGACTATCACCCATGAAAACAATATGCCATCCATTTCTTTTTCCACCTAATTAAACAAAGTTGTTACTATATTCAAAATAAAATTTATGAGAATTTAGAAAATTCTTTTTCAACCTGGTCTCAAGATCCCATTAAAATAAATAAACGATATGGTTATGGTAAAAAAAAATTTAATTCTCTTAAAATATAAAAAAAATAAAAATTAATTTTAAATCAAAAATCAACTATTATTATTTTGTGTTAGATGAAATATTTTAGTCGGCATTTGAAAAGAGACTCAAAAGAAAAGTATAAGGATATAAATTTTACTATTTTTTATAAAAAAACATGAATTTTATTAATTTCTAAATAAAATTATGAACTTTTAATTTTTCTATTTAAAAATATTTATTTTATATATTTTTATATGTAAGAATTGATTGAATGATTAAAGAAACCATTTAACACATCATAATCACTATCCAATTAATCATTTAAATAAAAAAAATTAACATTTTTAAACAAAAAAATTAAAAATTTAATATCTTATTTAGAGACAATAAAGTTCACATTTTTAAATAGAAAAATAACAAAATTCATATTTTTATAAATATCTTTTACATGTTAAGAAAATCACATTACTTCAATCACATGTGATTTTCTTAATAAAAACTTTGTAACACACTTTAAATTATTTCTAAATTGGTTGCCATAAGAAAAGACCAAAAAAAAAAAAAAGTTTACAAATTGGTAAATATTTTGACCCAAAGACGTGCTATTCCGTCAGATTTAATCTGCACCGCACATCACAATCAGTTTATTTAAATCAAACGCTTAATAATGGTCAAGGCCCGGTGTTCCCCCCTATATACAGAGATTTCTGCGCGGCGTCGTCTGCTCCTCCTTCCTGCAAAACAAACCGATTTCCGTAACCGCTGGCGATAGATTCCGTACACTTCGTAGAGAAACACAGAGGAAGCGGAGGTCTGGGTTATCGGGTCTAGATCCGGCGAGCCCATGGCGAGTCATAGAGTTCATCTTGTATGGATCTCATTGCTTGCTCTCTTTTCCGTTCATGTCCGTTGCTTCTACCTCCCCGGTGTCGCTCCGGAGGATTTCCAAAAGGTCAGTTCCATTATATTTCATGCATCCATGCATGTATTTAACGACATATTGTCACATACATATGCGTGTGCCTCAAATATGCATGCTTGTATGGGTTTTCGATCTTGCTTTGCGTTGTGATGGATGATTCTGTTCAGATCTACGTTTAAAGATGAATTAAAAGAGTTTTGGTTCAATATGTTTGTAATTTGAGCGTAAATGTTTTGGTTTGGTAGAGATATGCTGTGAATTGTGATGGTAATCAGCTCAGCTGATGTGAAAGAATATGGAGGAATGAACTTTTTGTTTAGCTTAATTAGATTAAATGATGATTGCTTTAGAAGTGGATCTGAGTCTGTATGTTTTGGGATTTTGATTTCTCGTCTTTCTCCTCATTTTTTTGTGATGGGTGTAGGGTGAAGTAGAGAGTCATGGCTAAATGATAAATTCTTGTGCCCATGATTTCTATTGTATTGTATGTGACTACTAACTTCACGTACTTACTGTTTTAATGGTGGTCCTGTGGTATTCTTTGTTGTATGGCAACGCTTCGTAGTACCTGATGTATTTCTGATGTTGGAGGGTTTTGTTTTAACTTTCAATTGGTTGAATGGTATGTATTCTGGGTTCTGTAGCTCTGGATCCTCTATTTCTGTCTTGTAAGAGTTGATATTGAAGCATAGAAATCATGATGTATCATGTCGCTGTTCCCTTTGAGATGACTTGTTTTAAAGTTTGTTCTTTTATTTTCCTTTTTTTTTTTTGGTTTACTTGCATAGGGGGATCAATTGTTGGTGAAAGTGAATAAACTGACCTCAACAAAAACACAACTTCCTTATTCCTACTATTCCCTCCCCTATTGCCATCCAGAGCGCATTGTTGACAGTGCAGAGAATCTTGGGGAAGTCCTTCGTGGTGATCGCATAGAAAATTCTCCTTATGTGGTGAGTTAGAATGCTAGGTCATTAATTTGTTGTTCCTTTCTTTGTTCTTTACTGTCTTTGATTGTGGAGTATTGAATGGATTTGTTTGATGCAGTTTAAAATGAGAGAACCACAAATGTGCAATGTTGTTGGTCGTGTAGTACTTGATAAGAAAAAAGCCAAGGCATTCAAGGAGAAGATAGAAGATGAGTACCGAGTGAACATGTGAGGCAATAATTTTCATAGAATTAAAATTATTTATTTAATTTCTTTCTGTATAGAAGCCCATATAACTTTATGGTCTAATTTGTTTGATATATGGTGCATTTGTTACAGGATTTTAGACAATCTTCCTCTAGTTGTTCCCTTTCGAAGGTCTGATCAGGACCCTGTAGTGTATCAACATGGCTTTCATGTTGGTCTCAAGGGACAGTATGCGGGAGTGAGTTCCTGATTGACCATTACATGTTTATTATAACACTTCAATATTTCTAAGTTATTATGAATGCAATTCAATTTTAATGTTCTATGTTTACTATCAGAGGAAGGAAGAAAAGCATTTTATCCATAATCATTTGACATTTACTGTCAAGTTTCACAAAGACCCGCAGACAGATTCTTCAAGGATTGTTGGGTTTGAGGTTAAACCATTCAGGTTAAATATTAATATCCTTTATCTCAGCACATATTCATCTTTTATTTGTCATAAATTTTCTTGTCAACAACTTTTGTGTTCTCATTTAATAACATGAATTATTTCAATAAATTCAGTGTTAAACATGAGTATGAGGGTCAATGGAAGGAGAAGACCACCCGTTTAATAACTTGTGATCCCCATGCCAAACGTGCTGTCACCAACTCTGATTCTCCTCAAGAAGTTGATGATAAGAAGGAGATTATATTTACATATGACGTTGAGTTCCAGGTTTGTCCCCTGACACCTCAGCAACTTAGAAATGCCAGCTGGTTGTTACTATGAGCTGGGTCTTATGGTGCTATCACTTTCTAATTGCCTCGCCTCTTGTTTTCGTGTCACAGGAAAGTGATATAAAGTGGGCATCTCGTTGGGATACATATCTTCTAATGGCTGATGACCAGATCCATTGGTTCTCAATTGTTAATTCTTTGATGATTGTTCTTTTCCTGTCGGGAATGGTGGCCATGATCATGTTGCGGACTCTTTACAGGGATATTTCCAAGTACAACCAACTTGAAACCCAAGAAGAAGCCCAGGAAGAGACAGGGTGGAAACTGGTTCATGGGGATGTTTTCAGACCTCCCACAAACTCAGACTTACTTTGTGTCTATGTTGGAACTGGGATTCAGTTTTTTGGAATGATTCTTGTCACCATGATCTTTGCTCTTCTGGGATTTTTGTCCCCCTCAAACCGAGGTGGGTTGATGACTGCCATGCTTCTACTCTGGGTATTCATGGGGCTGTTTGCAGGATACTCCTCGGCTCGTCTTTATAAGATGTTCAAGGGAACAGAATGGAAGAAAATTACTTTAAAAACAGCCTTTATGTTCCCTGCCACTGTCTTTGCCATTTTCTTTGTTTTGAATGCTCTGATATGGGGCCAAAAATCCTCTGGTGCTGTGCCATTTGGAACCATGTTTGCTTTGGTACTCTTGTGGTTTGGTATCTCAGTCCCGCTAGTGTTTGTGGGTAGCTATATTGGGTTTAAGAAGCCAGCAATGGAGGATCCAGTGAAAACTAATAAGATTCCACGACAAATCCCAGAGCAGCCCTGGTACATGAACCCAGCCTTCTCTATCCTAATAGGAGGCATACTTCCGTTTGGGGCTGTCTTTATTGAGCTCTTTTTCATCCTTACTTCAATATGGTTGCATCAGTTCTATTACATATTTGGCTTCCTCTTCATTGTTTTCGTCATTCTTATCATCACCTGTGCTGAGATCACAATTGTGCTCTGCTACTTCCAGCTTTGCAGTGAGGATTATTTATGGTGGTGGAGATCATACTTGACTTCGGGTTCCTCTGCACTTTATTTATTCCTCTATGCCGCCTTCTACTTCTTTACAAAGCTTGAAATCACAAAACCGGTGTCTGGGGTTCTGTACTTTGGATACATGTTGATTGTTTCATATGCCTTCTTTGCGCTGACTGGTACAATTGGTTTCTATGCATGCTTCTGGTTCACAAGGCTCATCTATTCCTCAGTGAAGATTGATTGAGTAATCTCTGTTGCAACCAAATGAAAAATGGTCAGTTTGTTTCTTAATGGAGGATGCTGAACTGTCGTTGCAGGGATTAGAAATGCAAGGTTTCCCCACTCTATTGACTTTAGATTACCTCCTGGGTTCAGTTTTGAATGTTTGATTATAGAAATTGTTACTTCTTAGCCTCTTTTACTACAGTTTCCTTGACAGTTACTAGTTCTTTTTTACCTTTTTTAACTTTATCAATTTGTATGAGATGACCTTGGGGAGGATTGATAAGCAGTCTTATCCATGGCTGTTCCAGAAATTTAAGGGATTTCTTGTAACACTGTTTGCTTCTTAGTAACCAAAATTCTGTTATTAAAAGATTTCATCATCTGTGTTGCAGTTGGGAAATAAAAGAAATATTCTGAGTTTCGTACATTCTGCTTGTATGATCTGTTGTGGTAATTGGCATTGCCGCTTATTTGCTGAGTATTACTGTAAAGCTTAGTTAGAACCCTCTTAAATCTTGCTAACTAGAATTGACAAACTAATAAAGACATTGAGCTCAAAAACCCTTCACAAGGTCAAAAGTAAGCCATACAATTGACAACCCTCTATCCCTCCTATCTTGGTTTCGATTCGGATTAGTTTATTTCTTCACATCTGATAAATAAGGTGTCAATGACAATGAGCCGCACAGGGACACTTCTTAATGTTACAAAAATGGATGTTTAAGAAGTCTGGCTTTCTACTGTTCTATCCTAGACGACTAGATAGAAGTCAATGGAATGGCAGCAAAAACAAGGAATTGGCATTTACTACAACATACCTGAGCTCAGCCTAAAAACCATTAACATGGTTATGCTTTATCTTAACTTTTATATATTTTATCAATAAAGTTTGGTTGAATTGAAATTTACTAATGTAAATTCTTTAATTTAAGGTTATGATCAAAAGTTTGAATTTTTATATCACCAAACAGTTAACTCTCATATACATATATATATATATATATATATATAACAAAACTTTCATTTTTTTTTTTTGTCCTTCGAAAACTCTCAAGTGTAATTTTGGAATAGAGTTATTTCTATCCCTTCACCCTTAAGTTGATTCATGCAAAAGTGTGTATCCACCTATAGAGATGTTAAATATATTTCCCCTTTGTTTTAGAATAATTGTTGTTGTTATTGTTGTTGTTGTTGTTGTTTTTTATTTTTTTATTTTTTTTTTATTTTAAGTTTTTCCCTAAATTTTTTTAACTTTTTTTTTATAAAAGTTTTGAGAACAATTTTTTTTAAAGAATAATTAAAATCACAAGATAATGATATATTTAAAGTAATTTTTTAAAATATGAAACAAACAACAATTTTTTCCTTTTGTTATTTTGGGTTACATGATGAAAGGCAATCCTTTTTTATTTTTTAATCTACTTCACTCATATATCATACGACTCAAACTCAAAAACTCTTACTTTTAGGAGAAAGAAGTTATCATTAAACTACCGAAGCCATTCACAAACAAAATCTAGACAAGTTCTAAATAATAAAATAAAAATTATTCTAGAGAAAGGGAATAATGTGCTTTAAAATGTGTTTCTCCAAAAATCCTCTTCTTTTGGTTGCTACATGGCAAAATAGTGCAAGCATGCCACTTGATTTTCTCAAAGTAAGAAAGATGGATTTTCTTGATAACTCTCTTCTTTTAAGTGGTTGACTTCTGTGCGGGATGGCTAAAAGAACATCAATTATATGTTGAAGATGCACCTCAAATTAGATCAGACAATGTTGAAAGAAGGGATGCTTTCCCATAAAATAGGTTACAAACTTGTCTTGCACAAATCCAAGGATCCCATATCTAAGGCCACAAGGAGATTTGTTAATTAAATTGAGCAATAAATAAAGAGAAGGCTGGTAGAAAATAAGAGTACATTGTTGAACTAGAAAGCAGATTAAGGCTAAAGCAAACTACAAATTTTGACATAGCAAGCAAATCTAGGTAAACTATTACTAGCAAACTTTAACTAAACTAGTTGCAGAAATGTATATTGAGCATTTTGAAGATAAAATGAAGCTTTGAAAAATAAAATAAAGAGATTGCATTAACTATAATAAAAACTATTTGCAGAACTAAAATTTGATTGCATTGAGAGAATTGAAATGTGTTGATAGAACTATTAATCTAGAATAGAACCTATGAAGGCAAAGGGACATATCCCACATAAAACAATTAAAACCTAAAATTAGAGAGTTTGAGAGCTGACCTGCTAATGTAGAAGCTAATTGAGAGCTTGACTAAGACATTTTGCAAAATAGATTGTGTAGTTTTTTGGTGAGAGGGGCAAGCTTGTTTTGAATGTGTTGCTTCTTTTGAAATTTTTTTCTTTTATCTGTTTTGGGGAAGATGGTAACTACTCACTCCCACTTGTGTAAAACATGGCAAACTTCATAAGGTAATTATACAACTCAATAGTAGACTTGGTCAAAATGCTCTCTAGAACTCGTCATATGTCTACCACCTCACCCACTAACTAAACTTGCCCTACCACTTCTCCTAAAATTTAGCCATGATTTCCACTAACGTTAAATACCACCAAATAAATAAGAGATAATTGCAAAACCACTAGATTTGGTTAGACACATGGCACCATTAGCAAGGTTTGTCATGCTCCAAATAACAGCAACATCAAGTTTGATATGACTTCATCATGACCACTCATTCAAACAATAACACGTGGTATCATTAAATAAATTTGCAATTTATGGTGTAAATAGAATGTTTTATAAATTACTACTCTCACATCATATAGGCACATCTAGAAAACAAGAATTATATATGTTTATAAATTAGTGGAATGTTGTTTCTTACCATAGTAAAGTTATCCTTCCTATGTGTAATTTACAATGTGAGATATGATGTTTAAAATTTTGGTTAAACTCTCAAATTTGTTCAAGTCACTATGAATGACGTTATGAATTCAGCTAATTAAAATCAAGAATTCAACCACAATGACTAAGAATTCACTCACAACACCAAAATTTTTTTGGATAGAAATTGAACACCAAAATTTTTATGGAGAGAAATTGAAAATGAAAAAACCTTGGATGATGAAATTAAAACTCAACAAAATGAACTTCCAAAAATACCTTTGGCAGCAAATCAATTCAGTTGAGAATATTCATTGGGTGTGAAAAAACCTCATCTAGGTTAACCATTTTACTAAATAAATTCACATTTTGTAAATCTAAAATTGAAAAATTGTATCCTGGATCGGACTAGTGGGTTATTTGGCTGAAAACCACCGATTTCAGGAGATGAACGGATGAGATGCCAGCGTGGAACAAGAACATTGCTCACTCACTTACATTCTCCCTCTACTCGTGCCCATATCAGATATCACAGTGGCTTTCATCAGATCAAAGCACGAAAGGGCCCAGCAACGGACCTCAGAGAACTCGAATCCGTTAACAATTTTTATAGCTGATAGACAACCAAACGGAAGAGAGGTTACAGTTCATAGATATGCTACCAGTTTTTCTATCATACTTTTAAGAATCTAATTCATACTTTTAACAGTCTAAATTGAAAAAATTGTTTGTCTAACAATTTTGGCATTCTGGAGCTAATACCTAGCATTGATGATTTTTTTTTAATTTTTATTTGCAGTCATAGTGTCTTTGGACAGACCAATTTTTATAGATCAATATTTATAGACTTTTTAAACAATTTTAATAACATAATTTATATTGTCTTGACACATTTAAAGAAATTAATTTTTTTAAATATTAACCTCAAAATTTAAAAAAAATTAATTTTTTTAGATCTTAATCACAAAACTTAAATCTTATTATGACCTATAAGATGATATATTTTTTTTATTAATGAATCTAAACCTCTGGGTTCTAATTTCTAGCATGATAAAGGCTTGTGAAAAAATTTGTATAAATTCTTAATTGTTTGCAATTTGCAACCATCCTTTCTCGCCTACAACATATAGGAAATTTTATATTAACATTACCATGTGTAATCAGATCTTGTTAATGGCATTGCCACTGAGACAAAACATCTAATACTTGTTTCTGCTTTATTTATTTATATATTTTTGTGTAAATAAAATAATCAACAGAACTTGGTGTTCTTCAAATATGCATCTCCTTCAGTCCTTAATAGCACGTATAAAGTCGAAAAGGGTTCACCTTTTACCAACAGGGCAAAAAGCCCTGTAAATTTTTATGGATAAGCATGCAAATACAACAGCTCGTACTTGTAATTCATCAGGATGGTTAAGCGTATTACATTCACATGCAGACTTGTTTCAGTTATAAGCAAATCCAAATCCATTAGTCATGGCGGAAGAAACAACCTTCATTTTAAAGTCATATCACAATTCGTACCTCAGAGTCAATTTGCATCTTCAGCTGTAAAATCGGGCTCTGGGGGCTTCTGTAGTTTCACCAACTCCCTAGCACTTTTTGCAATCCGATTTCTATGAACACCGCGAAGGGCGTTGGCTGCAAACCTGGAAGCTAAGAAGGTGGCACGAATACTATATGAACCTCCACTAGCATTACTACGGGTTTCTGCTTCTGCTTCATCTTCTTCTTCCTTCCGACGAAGCTCCATACTCTTCCTTTTAGAATAACGGCGCCATGCAGCTTGGATAAAGCAAGCAGCCCAAGTCCTCCACTGCTGTGAGTAAAACCGGAATGTATGTTGCACCTGCCTACTGTGAAGACGCCTGAATTGACTAGCCACAAATTTTAACTCCTCAGCTATCAGGGCAAAAGCTTCAACCTCAGTCCAAGCCTTCACTGTTCGAGTAGAGGATGGAAGGTTAGCACCGGTTTTAGGGTCCAACGCCCAGGTTAAAAGCTCTTCACCACAGAAATCCCCCTCTTTTAGCCAACTACGGTTGAAGAACCCACTCCTCCCACCATCTGTTGTTACACTCTCAAGGCGACCACGAATAATGAAAAGCATCTCATCAACTGGGTCGCCCTCACGAACTATGTAAGTCTTTTCTGTAAATAGGCAGGGTTTCAGCCGCTCACAAATGGCATCGAGCAACCTCTCGTCCATATTCTCGAACAGAGGAACCTACAATATGCAGCAATAGATTATAAATTATTGTCATGCCGCATCTGCTTGGCATAAAAGAATTTAACATACAATAAAGAAGTTTTGTATGATAGAAGTAGAAAAATGATGGCACAAAAGAAAAAACAAAAAAAAGTAGTAGAAAAACACCGAGCGGAAAAATGTCAAAACTGAAAACGTCACTCAAATCATACACATTTAAGAATATAAAATTTTTATATTTTCTGAAAAGGAATTTTGATATATTATTGAGAAATATCAGAAAAGTGTGAGGCTCATGTTACTTATGAACGAATTTAATTATTTTATTGCTCTATTTTCTTTAAAAAAAAAGTTAATTATTTTATTATGGCTAGGATTGTTTAATATGCTTATGAAGGAGGGCATGGAAGCAAGGCAGGACGCTGTTAAAATTGCAGATTCTCATAATACTCAAGAAGAACACCACCAACAAGAAATTGCATCCCAAAGCCACTAGTGAAGAAGATAGATAGAAATGAAAACATATAAAATCAAATACTTACCCTCCTAACCAGAGCCAAGCAGAGGTGCCGCTTTATATCTCTCCTCAGATCCTTTGGAAGGCCTTGAACCAAGTGTTCTTCATCCACACCACGTGTTTCCAGCCACTTATATTGGTCATAACGCCTCACTCGCTCCTTGAGCTCTGGTGGAAGCATTCGGTGATGCATCCACTGTTCTGAGTCACGCCTTTTGACCCTCATCTCTTCAAGTCGAATAGTTAGAGACTGGAGATAGGTCTGTTTAACATTTTAGGCAATAAATACTTCAGTACTACTATTATTAGGAATTAATTTCCCACAGCCAAGAGATAATGAGTTCAAATTAAGTCATTCATAAGATTCACTTCCATTCAGATTAGCATAGGTTTATTTTATTGATCCCCTTTTCTTTTCAAAGGTTTAATGAACATTGGAAGATAACACAGGCTAGGCTTACTAGAAGGTAGTGCATGCAAATTAAATCAGATAAATACCCACTAATTCATCCAAGTAGCTGATACAAATTACACGAGGATAAGAATGATAAATATTCAATTAAACAAAAATATGGCAGTGTAAGGACAACAAACATTCAGTTAAACAAAGTTCAAACTGAGGCCAGGCGTAAGTCTAATTCAAGTTGAAATTAATTAAGAACAACAAAAGGATGAAATTTTGAGAGAGAGAGAGAGAGAGAAACCTTTCAACTAACAAAATGGTTTTCTATCAAAAGGGAATAAAGTCTACCTGCATGTTGCCAATCAGAAGAGCAAAGAGAATAAGTCCAAAAACAGCAACTGCTATGGAAAATATAACCTCTACTGGATAGGTGCTAGTTTGAAGCCCCTGGCCTAATGTACTGCAGAGTCAAAAGAGTATGAGAGAATGTTAGGAGTTGACTATTAAAATGATGGATTAAATTCACATGAAAAGGTATCAAATGTATTGCAATTTGCACATAAATATTGTTTTGACAAGAATAATCAGCACAAGAAAAGAAAAGAAAAGAAGAAAAAAAAAAAAAAAAAACCCAAGATTTCGGTCAGGCATGTATCATGTTTTCAATCAACTATACCGTTAGCTTGAGATGGAACAATTTGCCACATTATAATCAAATATAAACCAATGGTGGCATATATTAGCAATTGATGCATGCTATTTCCAAATTTCCCCTTTTAACACATCCTAGTTGGCAAGGATAAGCAAAATTTTTGCCCACCTCAAATTTTGTAGACCCCACCATAAACAGTAACAGTACTTGGAGACAAACTTTGTAGATGAAATGATGATGCGCGATGACAAAGCACTCGTGTAAATCCCAAAATCAAATGGTGGATTTTCACCATCAGTTGAGCAGTTTGATTGAAGAACATTATCTCTGATGCTAGCCCAAGAATCATAATCTTGCAAGTGCTGATTGCCACAGTACAAGAAATTTTTGTTGCAGATTCTACCTGCATCTTGACAAGCCCGCTTCCAGCATGCATCATTGCGTTCTAGAGCAAGCAAGTACCATAATGCCCCTACTATCTGAAAAATTCATCCACCAAAGGTTAAGCTCTGCAACTTTTAACAAACAACTGCATTAAAGTGCATCTGACAGACATTGGGAACTTTTTTAGGCTGTTTACTTTTAAGGATAGTCTTGTTCAAAATTGTCTTATATATGTTAATACTGAGTTATAATAGCTTATGGTTAATTAACATCAATAATGGGATGGGATACACACTTCTTCAATACACACAAAATACTCTATGGTAAAAATATAACCAAAATTGCATAAGTGACAAGTTATGAGTTAATATAAAATCCATGAAACATAGCTGCATAAACTAATAAACACAGACTAGCAAGCAAGACATAAAGTTCCTGTGTGCTTACATGACTAGCAAGCATGTAGAGCAGCAAATAATATGCAGCACCAGCCCAAGCTGTTTCTGCGAAGACACCTGTTGTCCTCTTCATTTCAGAAGTTAATGGTTGGATTCGAAGAAATCTAGGGATGTACTGAAGCAAGACAACAAAGAACAAAGCTCGTTTTGTAGCCAATACATCTGACCCCTCTGAGCTCTGAAGAAATCTCCAAACAACAATCTGCATGTAAGAAAAAAATAATGAGGAAACTCGGTTGCAAGTTCTAGGTTAAAAAATTTGTTATTGGAAAGTAGAACACAGATGAGAAACATGCAAGAAGTTGAGTATTAGACACATGACAACAAGGGAAAGCAGGCAGCCTCTATGTGAAAAATAATTGGAAGAAGGTGCTCTTAAAACCTGTGGTAAGGGAAACACAGCAAGAAAATCAACTATGAAATATCTCTGCAAGTATCGCTTTGCTATTTGTGCCGGGTCTATGACAAGTTCACCTCGTCCAAAAACCCGAGATGATGGAGCAATATAAGCCGTACGGAACTGAAGAGCCATGCGAACAAGATAGAATGCATCAATGATGGTCCGCAATGTTGTTGTTACAGTTGCTAATTTGCGATCTAAACCAAGACACTTTGATGAATCATCAATAACTGGCAGATAGAAAAACAGAGGGTCCACAGATACTGCCAGAATACACGATATGAAAAACAATTTATTGCATAACAGTAGGAGTTTATCCTGAGGATCAAATATCTTCTTCTCTGATGCTTTAAGATCTTCTGGAAATACAGCCCGAGAAACTCCAAATCTAAGTGAACGACCAATTGACTTAAGTCCTTCTGATCCCTTTATAATTCCTCTTTTAAAAGATCTAGATGTTGTTTTGTTTGAATGGCCTGCATGAGTTAATCCCTCAACATTAAATCCACACCTCTTTAGTCTGGTGTCAGAAGGCGATGATGATCCAGAGTCCAAGTCATCCAACCTGGAAAAAAGACCAACAATAACACCATTAGGTTCCCTTGCAAACCATGCCCATGAAAAGTTAGTTCTTCCTCAACAGTACACTGATAATGAATATGTCAATCTATTCATTGTTAATGCATTCAGCACCTGAAAAACTTCTCCCTCTGGCCACTCATGTACTGAGATTTAGAACCGCCTTCAAACATTTTCTTTTACAAAAGAACAATATACACCACCTGAAAACCAATAAAAAGAGATCAACAGAATAAGGACAGCATGTTCTGACCCAGCTCTCATTATGTTGGTCAGGTTGTTAACCTGATTAAGCAATATAAACACATTTAATCTTCGTTATGGACAGATGTATCTAAATCACAGTATCAAACATCTAATGTGAACAATAAAAAGGGGCATATCCAACAATAGAAACGCTTCATACAGATACATATGTACGTATAAACTCATGTCTTCCAAAAATGCATTCCCTAGTAACCCATGTACAGATCATGTTGGAGAAACAAGAGCACCAGGTGCAGCCCCCTTCTCTAAACATTATCCATAAAAGCCACCAACATAACCTAGAAGATTAATCTGCACTTCATAGTCAATATAACGCAAGCCCCTCGAGATCGCAAAGTTTAGGTTAATCAATGATCAATCAGGTACCACTGGTAATCCAATCTATACCCTATAGCCTCACAGGAAAAATTTGCCAATCTTATGAATGAACTTCTCCAGGAGTAAAATAAATAGACTCACACACTTCTTTCCTCCTCCTCCTCTTTAATCTTCTAGTTGAGTAGTCCAAGTCTAACAATCACTACAAACACCGATCCATCAATTTAACCTTATCCCGAAGTAACAACAATATTCCTCCACCATTTTTAACAATTACACTCAGTATACCAAAATCACTGATCAGAAACCGAAATCGACATAGAGATTTACAGAAAATGAGTTCAAATTGAAACGTGGAAAGATGGAAACAAAACCAAGAGAATAGAATCTGATATTCTCCAAAGTATTGAAATACAGAAACGCAAGTAAACACAGATTATCGATGTTAACGAAAATCAGATTGGAGCGAGAGAGAGAGAGAGGGAGAGGAGAGAGACTTACTTACAGGAGTACTCTGTTCATGAATCCATTGATGATGACGAGAAGAGGAGGTAGAGGTTTAAGTAGCAGATTGAAAATCAGCCGCGATTAGTGGAAGAAGAAGGAAAGGAGGGGGAAACAGAGAAGGAAGTTAAAGATTGGAAATCTGTTTTACCGAAAAGGCCGAGACGGTACCGGAGTGGGAGTCGGTTAAGAGTATGAAATGACTGGACTGGCCCTTACCGATTTTGACGGTTACTGTCCGAACGCGGTAAAACCCGGTTGACCCGGTATCGGCATTCGAGCACGTCATCAGTTGCTTTAGTATTTTATTTTTCTTTTTATTTTTTTATTTTATAATTTATTATTTCTAATAAAGTTTTATCCGGCGATTGGATTTGGTTGATTGCGGTCGGAAATGAAGTTTGATTTTTGTAATGACACTGGCAAAGAAATGGTATTTCGAAAGGTTGTAATTTCATTAAATTCAACATCTCACAAAATCATTACCTTAGGTTAGCATTTTTAATTCTTCATTATATTTTCTTTTTACCAAAAAAAAGAAAAAGAATAAGAGAAGATTATACTAAAACTTTGGTTTATAGTGTATTTGAATTATGAGAAATGTAGAGGAGGAAAGGAAAAATTTTTTATTTCATTTTATTTTTAAAATTTATTTATTTATCTAGATGATGAAAATAAAGAAAAGGAAATGAAATGATACAATTTCTCCTCTCTTTTTTTTCATTTTGCTCTTTTTTACATCCAAAGATACAATTAATAATATTGTGTTATGCTATATCAGTAAAATCATTTTTTATCTTTTTGCTATCTAAACATATATGTAATATTATTTTTTTTAAATAAATTTACAAATAATCTTAACATTTTATGAAAAAAAAAGTAAAAATCATCTCAAAAATTCGAACATTAAACCCAAAGACAAGTGACAAATTATTTAATCCAAACATGTGAGACGTATATAAAATATTAATTAGAATCAATTAAAAAATTAAAAATTATATTTTAAAATAAACTGCCATGTGAATGTCTGTCAGAAACTCCAACAAACGAAAAAACCTTTGGCTGTACTCCGTCTGATTTAAAATCTATCTGATTTAGTTGTAAAGAACAGCTAGAACAATTGATGGTGGCTTGAAATCAGACTTTTAAATCCTAGGATCTCTAGAATGATGCAGTACCAGCGACGAGGTCAAAACTCAAAAGGACCGAAGCCAACCGTGCCAAAGCCTCCAGGTCCTTGCATAAAGTCGTACGAAAGGTAAACTAACCGCAGTTTCAATTTTCTGTTTCGCCTCTGATGGCTGTACTCCTTAATAGAAATAATATGGAAATGTTGAAAAAGCATGAATATAATAACTCTGAAGAAGACTATTTCTACATATTGCCTCATGGGAATACAAGTATTGAATTTGTTGGAGAAATAATCCAGAACCAAACTCTTATTCAAGCATGGAAAAATTTTGCTTTCCACATCTTGATCCGAGTTGTCTAATGGGTTGTGAGACAAATATCTGATGCCAAATTGCCCTTGCCAACTTCTGGCTTCTGGTAATGCATAAAAATCACAAACCATGAGTCAGACCTCTAATGGTATGGAGCAGCTTCAGCAACATACAAAACTGCATAAAAAATAAAATAAAATAAGCATTAGAATGGTTGCTAAGGCAAAAGAACAGCCATGCCAAAGGTATGGATACTATGTTCTCCAAAAAAATTTGTCCATACAAAGGGGAACATGAAATAGGTAATTTGCCTGAAAACATTGTTGTGCTTGAATCGTAATGATGATGGCATTACCCCTAGAAAGATGCTATCAGATTATACAGTGATCATGTTGCTTTTCAGACAATATCAAGAGATAATGGCAAGGGAACTGTCATCAGATTATGACAAAAAATTTATAACAAATGCTCTTCTGCTCACGCATTTTGAATTTGTGGTGTATGAGGGAGAAAGACTTGACTTCTGTTTTGGAAAGGGAGAAATGGAGGCACTTCTCTTTCAGTTTCTAATCTATAATGAAGATCCAGAAAATTTAATGAATTCTATCTCCACAATCTTAAGTTTCAATTTCTCCAAACATGAATTGAGTTTGGTATACTGGCATACCAGCTTTATATTAAAATCATTACTAACATTAACTTTTAGGTCAGCAACATGAATGCATATGAATTCGTAAAATGCACAAGATGACAAAAAAAAAAAAAAAACTGAGAATAAAGAAAAGACAAGGCTTAATTAAGTACAGGGAAAGAATGATAAAATAAGAAACAAAAAAGAATTGGTGCATACCTTTCAATCATATATATATATTTTTCCCATCTGCATTAATGAATTTAGTATTCAGCAATGAAAAAGAGTGTATGACAGTAGATTTCTCAGTCTTGGCAATTCAGGGCATCTGCAATTCTGTTCCTAGCTTCATCACACAATGTTTGTGGATCACTTCCACTGATTGGTTTATGAATAACAACTCTCACCGATCCTAAATTCAAGATACCCTCCATTCCTGCAGGCATGATTTTGCCTGTGCCAATTAGCGTCATGGGAACCACTGGAACTCCTGTTTTTGCTGCTACACTGAATGCACCTTTCTACACGTCAACAGAAAGAGAAAATAATGACTGTCATTGCAAAAGTAGCATTCTATATTTTCACAGAATTTTTTACAAGACCTTCTTGACTTTGTGAGAAGCAATAAGATGAGTCACTTAGGTATATTCTGCCTTACTTCCGATGACCAAAGCCGTCACTTGAAAAATGGCCATTTTTCTTCCCTCATAATAGGTGATGCACAATCTTAGTTTTTCGACTTCTTTTAGTCTATCGTAGATAGGCAAGGAAGGGATACTTGGTACCTGAACCAAGTATCCTTTTTTATCCATGGTTCTTGGCAACCAAATCAAGAACACTAAGTCTCCTTGATGACTTTTCTATTGGTTAAATCTATTTTGCACATATACATAATATCATCTCACCTTAAAAACACCTAATTTGCCATCTTTACTCCTTGTTCCTTCTGGGAAGAAAAAGACAGAGGCACCCTTCTTGATGAGATCCATGCATCTTTTAAGACACTCCTATATGCACAACGCAAGAAATTTAAATCCAGCAAATCATATATTACATACCACCTATTGCCATCCAACACTAACATACAAAAAATAATTTGCAAGTATCAGAAAGGAAGGGTTACCAGCTGGCTTCTGCTATCCATGCGTTTCAGAGGGATGACACCCATCATAAACATGGCCCAACCAATAATGGGAAAAAGAAATATTGAAGTCTTGCTTATGAACTTGAAGCTTCTTCCAAGAGTAAGAAGAGTATAAATGTCTAAAAAGCTCTGGTGGTTGGAAACATACACTGCAGGAGTATCTGATGAAGGCAGGTTATCCAGTCCTTCAAACTCAATTTTAATGAATGGAGTAACAGTCAGCAAAGCCCACATTTTGGCAATATGATGCTGAATTTTTCTTCTGTACTGATCCAACAAAAGTACGAAAGGATGAGCTGCCAGCATTGGTCCAATCAACAAAATGGCAGCAATAGCAGTAACAGCATAAAAGCAAATTCCTCTAACCTTTGAACCCAGTTTAAATTCTGCAATTGGACAGTTTAAGATAGAAAGAATTATAATTATGATGCTGCAAGGATAAAATGAAAAAGATAATAAACAAACAGGCTTTTCAGGAAAACCTGACAAATGATAAGGAGCATCTGCATTCCCAGTCCCAGCAAGTTCAGATCTCACAATTACAGATCTGGTTAATTTGTTTTGATTATGCAATTTACTACTGACAAAAGATCGGCTCAATCCCATACTGGGTTTTAAATAAGACCAAGATACAGCATCATGCTTTCTTTGATTAAATAAGAAGTTTTTGTGAACAGCTGCAGAAAGAGCAAAAGATGTAAGTATTCATAAAGAAAACTCATACATTCACACTGATTTTCATGCAGATTTGTTAAGGAGTAATGACCCTAAGAACATGCTAAAGAATAACTTCTTAACAGTCAGTAAAAGTGCACCCTTACTAAACTTTCTCGGCATCCTGTTTTAGATTTTAACTGGAAGATGACAAAGAACATAGGCAGCAAAAAGAGAGGATGAAACTTAAGAGACAAAGGCAAATACTTAATAAGCTGAACACAAATCACACCCATGCTTAGGCATGAAGCAATTCACTTACAATTACATGAATTCCTCCAACTTTTCTGTTTATGAAGAGAGCAGCCAATATAAGTTCCTTTATAACTGCAAAACTGCATCGACCGAAATATAAATATAAGCATAAGTCACTGAGCAAAGCTTACAAACCCACTTTTGCAAATTGGTTTTGATTAAGTAGAAACATCTAAAGTAACACTTCGACAGATATCTCCCAACGTTGAAAAACAGCCCCAATAAATACACCAATAATTTACTCATTACTTTTATCCACCTTCTAAATAGATATAAATATAAAATTAAAAACAGGAAATAACTAACAAAACCAAAATAAAACCAACCCAAGAGAAATAAGGCATGGAAATGAGCAAAATTACGCGCAACAACAGCGAATTACCCGCAATGACACCAGCGAAGCAGAACCACTTGAATTTCCATAACCTGAGAGAGAATTGCAGAACCCAGAAGTCATTCAGAGAGAAAAGGTAAAAAGAGCATATAAACAGAGACAGAGACATGGAGAGAGCATACGGAGTGGAAGAGGAGAAAGGGAAGGTAGAGCAGCGACTTCCATGGGCAAAATGCAGCAATCAGATTAAATCTGAGTCTTGAATTTGCGGGTGTTCATACACATCCAGTGCTGAATTTCAATTTTTCTAAAGATAGTGTTGCCTAATTTGTAGGAACGGAATATGAAAATAGGGTTTTTTAAATTGTTTTCTGGCTACGGAATGGAACGAGATTGTCTTCATTCTTACCTCGGCGACGGTCACACAGCGTTCTCCACCTTCCCCCCACCCACCGCCCCAAGGACAGGTCCCGTTGGAGCCCTCATTCGGCCCATACCTGGATAAGGTCCGTCCAATTCTCCCAACCCAAACACCGCCCAAAAGAAATTATTATCTGGACCAGTCTATTTCCAGTTATCTTATTAAAAAAATCTCATGCGTTGACTCCTTTTTCATTTCTTTGGAAAATAATTGAATTATTTTATTATTTTTTCAGTAATATTATAGTTATAATATTACATAAAATTATAAATTTATAATTTTATATAACTTTTAATGAAATATGATATTGTATTAAATGAATAAATACATATAATATTATGAGTAAATTTTTAAATAAAAAAATTAATTATATAATAACACATAATATTTTATAATTACAATATCACATGATATTATAATTATAATATTTTCGTTGTTTTTTAACATTTTAAATTATGACATGAGAACCTGGTTTTATGAGATGGTAGCAATTTATTTTTTAATTGGGTATGACACATGAATTAATTATAATTATATAATTATAATATTATATAAAATTATAAATTTACATTTAAAATATAATAAGTATTAAAAAAGTAAATATATTATGCGTAAAGCATTATGCTGACCACTTCAAATAAAAAAAATAATTATATAATAACACGTAAAAATTATAAATTATATTGTAAGTATATCAATTTTTTATAATATATTTACTAATTTAATAACAACATGACTTAGTGTATAACAAGAAAAATATTGTTAACTGATCATTACCGATTGTGTGCTTGCGAATTTACAACTGAAGCATTCATCACAAAAAACAATAATCAGAAATACTGATGATTTATAAAACTGCCTTATTTGATTTAAACCACAAAATGAGTTAACAACACAAAAAGAGAGGTGAACTAATGGACGAGGAAAAAGAAGATGCAGTTGGTGAATGATGAGCTAGTGGGGACGGGTGTTCTCAGGACGGGCAGTGCCGGAGGCGACTTTTGCAACATCTAGGGCAGAGGCCTCAGGCTTCTTCTTGGAGTACAACACCATGTAACCGATGGTAGCAACAATGGCGAAACCGCCAACCGCCATTTTCATTGGACATTGTGTTAGTTTTTTACGCTGCTGAAGGACCTCTGATGAATGCTGTGCTGCTTGGTCTGGTCCTGCCATTGCATTATACTTTTCTTCTCTTCTCTAAGATCTTTCCCTCTTTATGGTTTCTGCCTCTGCACAATGAAGTTTAAAAGGGAAAGATGAGGGTGGCCAGAAAAGTAGGAATAGGTTTCTGGGTTGACAGACACGTGGCAAATGCTCAGTGACTACCATGTGGGTCAATGACAAGTGGCAGCTGACCCATTAAGGTTTTCACCCGTGAGATCTGTTAAAGAATGGCAGCCAAACAAGAAAACGAACCAAAGTCATCCCAACAATTTCCATCTTTACCAAAACTTACGCATTTTTATGTGCTTGAATGTCAAATTCAATTTTTACAACTTACAAAGTGAGAACCCATGCAGGGCAGCACAAGGGAGTAAAAACATCATACAACCATTTCAGCTTCTGTAGTGTTGTTTGGGATCCCAATATCTAATCTCATGGTTGGTTTATATTGATCTGGCACTGTGGCTCCAGCCTGCACACAGATTTCTACAATGGCTGGGGCTTGCCCATAAAAGTTCTTCAGCTCCCGTTGCAGTGGTGGTCCATTCCCATCAGGTACATGCCAGACATATCTTGGAGGTATCAAATCATCAAGCACTGCTGCCTGCCAACCATGTTGCCCATTTCGTTGTTGGTGCTTGTGAGCTCCACAGTTCTGCGCTTTATGCCCAGAAGCACCCACATGCACCTCTGGACAATATCCACAAACCCTCACAGGATACATCCTCATTAACTTCTTGGCTCCTCTCCTCATCTTCTCCCATGCTTCGAGTGTTTCCTCAGCCAGTAGGGTTGTTTCCCCTTCATTACCAGGGGCAGTAATTTCTGAATCAGGTATCTCAGTCAATAACGGTTTAGGGGGAGGTTCTGGGACAGGGTCTGGAAGTTCACTTTCATCTGCATCAATGAATTCCCTTTTACCAATACGAATAATGGGCTTCCTTCTCCTCTTTGTGGGAAATTCAGGAATATCAACACCAGATTGAATGCATAACTCCACGACAGCTGGAATTCGAGGAATTGAGAATCTCTCATCATGACGAATACGCTTTTGAAGACGATCATAGAGATGGTAGGCATCAACTGCAAGGAGTACGTCTTCAATGACTGCATCATCTGTCCATTCATGATGGCCCTTGCGGAAAGAAGCATTTTGGCCCCTGCATGATTTGAATGGATGTCCAACAGGCCCAACATGAATTTCATTGCAATAACTGCAAAAGTAATGTCACTATGTGAGATTCAGGATTTTTAGAGAAAAAGAAATAAGTTTAATTGCCTATTAATACTATATAAAGCAATGATTCAAGGGAAACAAGCAGCTGGATCATTCATCAGATCTGATTATTCTAATGCAGCTAAAAAAGGGATTTTTTTTTTTTTTTTATTTGAATCTGTTCCATACTACCATTCCAAGTTGCTAACAAAAGACTGAAGTGCTACAATAATCTACCAAAAAAGCTACTGCACTAGATCCTAAAGAAGTATCTCATTCTTCTGAAAGTTTAAATTAATAGGAAAGGGCAAATGGTTACAGTGATGAGATATGATATGTTATGACCTTTAACACATGTAATGAGGACATCTAATTTCAATGCATTGATCTACATTTAAGCCAAAGAGCATAGATGACACCCATTTCTTTCAGTGCCATAGCACCAGTTGAATTGACAAGTAAAATGCTGGTAAACAAAATATTCTTGAGGCCAAATGCAAGAAGATATTTTGTGTGGCTGTACTATGTTGTTATGATGACACTCGAGAGATATTACTGTATTGGATGTTCACTGGAAACACCATGCCTTGGCATCTAGATATTTCCAGAAAGTTAACCACAATGCAACATTGTCTGTCCCATCAATCAAGAGTGGCCAAGGGCATTCAAGAAGGAATAGGATTACCTGCAAGCATGAACCTTCACCACTTTCAACAGCTTCTTCAGATTATTAATTAATGTAACCCTTGCATTAAATACATCATAGGCAACAGGCACCAGGCTTTTAACAACCAAGCCATTCTTTGGGGGTGGAAGTGGTTTTTTAGGTTGACCTTTACTATTCTTGACCCTCTCTCTGGCAGCTCGCCTTAGCTCCACTACAGGTACAGGGAAGGGCTTCTTCTCCTTCTTTGAATAGTATCGAGGAAAATCTGCATTTTGAGGATATTCACTCTTAACAACCAAGGCATGTGATCGATGCAACTTCCTTGACAGAACTCTAGCCTTTGATTGAAGTTTGAGTTGACTGCTACTATGCTGGAGAAAGCAACATTATAGAGAATACTCAAAAGATCAAAGAGACCAAAGAATCTAAAACTTCAATGGTAGTTAAGATCAATCAAGTTATCAAAGTCCAAGATGCACAGCATACCTCCAATTCCAAAGAACCAAGAAAATTAAGTCCACCATAGAGTTTATGTTTCAGAAATTCGGATCTTGAATGGTACGAAACCATAAACGGCCCCATTCTAGGAGATGATAAAAGCACTATTTTACTACAGGAAAAATAATCCATCCCTGCAACCAGAACCATTTTATTTGGAAACTCTCTCTTTCACAGAAAAGTAGACCCAGTAAGTACACACAAACATTCAGAATTCAGAAACAACAACATCCCATTGACCTGAATACAACATATAAAGTGAAGAACTCAGACATTGGAAAGAACAACCAGTTCCAGTTCAGATAAGTGGGATTCCAGACATAACTTCCCAATATTGGAAAATGCATGAACAGAACAAGTAAACTAGAAATTCTAGTTGAACATCAAAATTAGAAAATTAGAAGTACCAGATTTAAAAAACCCAATTCAATTGCATTAGACTTAACCCCGAATAACAAAGAATCAGACATAAACTAGTTGAAGAACACACTTCTTATCCAGAACACCAAAATGAACAAGAAGAAGAAGCAAGTGAAAAGTGGAACCGAAATTTTCGTTTTTTGGGCTACAGAAGCTGGAAGATTGCAAATAATCTGGACTCTGAATTCCAAATTTCCTCAATTTCTTTTGAATTTCTCAGCTCAGTTACTCGGCAACCAAATCAGGATTTTTAAGCAGCATAGACTGTTTTGTTTAATGAGTGATAAATAGAAGACAACGAACCTGTTGAAATGAATTCCGGCGATAACCGTTTCCGGTGGTCGTGGGAGACTGGCAGCACCTCGATTGGCACCGCCGGCGAGTGAAGCTTTCTTTCACCGGAGGGTGCGGTCCCGGCGTTCTGCACTTCGGCTTGTTGTACTAGAAATGAAAAAGGCCCATTCAGAGAACAATTGGGCTTTAGATAAAATGGAACTCTATCTAGCCGAGAGCTCAGGCCGCAGAAAAACATATGGCCTGGGCCTGATCCAATTATCCTTAGATAAAGGCATTTGGGTTTAAAATTTTTAATTTATGAAAGACTAAAACAACATTTTTTTAAGGTAAAATGCAAAATGCATTTTGGGCAAAAAAAAAAAAAAAAGTAATCTAACCATGCATGCAAAATAGTAACCTCAGTTGGTATCCTTCATATTTTTTTGACAAAAAGAAGTTTAAGGTAGCGTGTGGATGAGTTGTTTAAATAGTTAAAATTTGACATTTATTAATTTTCATTTTTATAATTTGATGTATCTAATATCAAATCCCTTAAAATATGCAACTAATAATCATAACCATAAGAGGCATAAAACAAGTTTATAAAATGGTAAATTTAAACTAGTGTACTATTAAATAATTTCACTGTTTTAAGTTGTAAAACAGAGAGTTTTAAACAAATTAAAACTGTAAAATAGAAACAGTTAAATACAAACATTATTAATATTAAGGTTCTCTCCATCTAAAAATCATTGTTTTAGAATTTGAACTATGAGACATATTTTTACTACTAAATACTTAACCAAAAACAGATTTAAAGTGCAATTATTCAAAACCCGAACCACTAATCCATTCACACAACTAAACACATTATGATCCGTTTGAATTAACTTAACACCTCTCTGTCTAGTACTATTCTCAGATCAAATCCATCTCGCCAAACAAGCCAACCCCAAAATCAAACTTCCCCAGAAGGATAGTAAGTCACGTCCCATTGCATGTCCTGCACTGTTCTTCCCCGGTGCTGGTGCCGGCGCAGGAGACTCCATCCCATAATGTTTCTGGGACATAACAACTACGACCAGCTTCTCTCCCTTCTCACAGTGCCCCTTGGCTCCACTGATGAAGTAGAACGCCCCCGATCGGTCCAACTCAACCTTGGTATTTCCGTCCTTATACTCTTTAATGGGTTTCGCTGCATTACAGCTCTCGTAGTCAGCCTTCGTCACTTCAAGCACTGAATCCACCTTGCTATCGTACTTCCAGTCTGTAAAATTTAAAAAAAAAAAAAAAAAAAGAAACCAAAATCGTTACTCCAAATTAGTTTTGAAAAACTAGAAAAATCAAGAACCTTAGAAATCAAATTACTGAGAGAATCGCCGATTTGGAATCTGTTTTGCTCTGCCCACTTATTCAGAGACAGGGTGGAATTCTCCGGTATTTTCCAGGAATTTGCATGGCCTCCAATCAGAAAATCTCTTGCTTCAGAGAATGTGATTAAGGCAGAAACAAATGTGAAAACCAGAATGGATACCCTCAGAGACGCCATTAAAATTAAAACTCAGGGAAAAGGAATGACCGTAGAAGAAAGCAGAGCAGGGTTTCCTGCATTTTAAAGCCATTAGCTTCGGGTGTGGATTCAGGCATGGGATTTGGCTTTGGATATCCGAAGCTCTTCATGGACGCCGCGTGTCAAAGACCAGTAAATTTGTTGTCTTTTACTTTTCCTTAAAAATGGAAATTATAACTTTCATGTTTCTTTTCATATCGATAATTTTGGGGTAATTTTTTTATATATTTATTTAATAATATATAAATATTATATTAACAAATAATATTAAAAAATTATCCTTATAACATCAATTTGTTTTTTTATTTTCAATAATTATCGTGCAGTTGAATTTTATTTTCCTTAAAAGACTCCTTAATCTCTGGGATTATTGTAAATTGCTTCCCGGATGTACCACGTAAAAACGGATTCTTTAGGATTATCTCAATAAGAGAAGGTTAGTTGGGATTTTGATAGAAAATTTTGATTCCAGTAACAATAAATACTCTAAAATTATGATTTTAAAAGATTTTGTGGAGTGGATCTGTGTCAAACCATCAATGCTTAGGTCAAAGGCAACAAATTCCCCTTCCACCGTAAGATGCTCTTCTATTATTTGAAAGTGCTGTACTATAACTGAGGGTATAATTTTTTAAATTTTTTAATACCATAAAAATATAAAAATTATATTTATTATTTATTTTAATTAATATTTTATATATTATTAAATAATAAATAACATAAAACTCAAAAATTAAAACAACCGAGAAACATTCTAAACAAAACCTATAAAAACCCTTAAATTAATTACTTTCTTTTTGTAGCCCTATTTTAATAATAATAATAATAATTTTTTTGTGTTAGTTGCACAACGAGAGGTAACTCTCTCACATCACTTATCTCATCTTACTCGTATCTTACTTTACCCTCATGTCATGTGATTCGAAATCAAAACCTTTTATTTCCAGTGAAAAGAAATTATTACTGAGTTATTTAAGTCATTGACAATAATAATAATAGTTAGAATTAATATTTAAAATAGTTAAAATTAATATTAAAAAAATTTATAACAATCATTCATCATACTAAAAAGTTTATATAGACTCAATTAATGCTAAAATAATTTTCATCATAAAATTTGATTATGAAAGCCATTAGTCTTTTTGTAAGAGTTGATTTAGGCCATAGAGAATTCTCACGGCAAAATAACTTGCGGGCCAAGCTGCCTCCCCTTCCCTGGCGGTTCAACTCTGAACAACCCAGATATTTAGAAACGAACTTACAGCCATGGTGTTGGGAGAAATAAAACTCAAAGTGGACATAAAAGAATGCTCAATGTAGGCAAATTATAAAATTTAACACAAATATACAGCCGCAGCTGATTCACCTCCATTATTGTCAAAATGTCGCAGACTCATAGCCAGCCAGAGAAAACAAACACATAACACTAAAACAGTTTCAGTTTAGGGTGCAGTCATAACGAGTAAAAAACAGCATACACTCATTTCAGGAGTGTCTTGACAATGGACTTGACGTTGAGTTTCTTCAGGTCTGTGTAGGACTGCCCACCGCCTACAAACATAACTGGTGCTCCCGATGTGTAGACCATCGATAATGCTGCACCGATCGACCTGTACCAATTCAGTTATACAGCAGAAGTTAACGGTGATTTGAGGCCAACAAGAACATGGACCTTCTTACTCTTAAGTTATGCTTTCATTTACCTTATCATCAATGGTGTCAACTTGGTGAGGAAGACATCTATCAGTCTCAAGACAAAAAAAGAAAAAAAGAAAAAAAGAAAAAAAAAAGTAGTGTTTAAATAATTGAAAAAATTGTTAGGAAAAGTATTTATAACAAAAATATCTTAAAATTATATCATTTTAATAAATTGTTATTAAAAAAATTAAAATAATATATGTTT